GTCCAAGACAGACAGATTATTGATCAAATTCTAATTGCAAGTGAATGTGTAGAGGCTCAAAAGAGGCTAAAGAGGAAGGGAATGGCAATTAAACTRGATTTGGAAAAGGCCTATGGTTTAGTGGACTGGGACTTTTTGATTAACATAATGAGAAGGTGTGAGTTTGGGAATTTGTGGTGAAAATGGATCAGAGGTTGTCTGCAAACATGCCATTTTTCTATTTTAGTGAATGGCACTGCAGTTGATTCCATTGAAGGGATCAGAGGCCTTAGACAAGGAGATCCACTCTCTCCCTTTCTCTTTACTTTAGTGGCTCTAGGCAAGTTAATCTCAAAGGCTAACTTGATGCAATTGATTAAAGGTTGGACAATAGGGAGAGGTAGAGCTTTGGTTTCACACTTGCAGTTTGCAGACGACATCATGGTTTTTTGTGATGGGGGGGAGTCAAGAAAGTGTAGAAAATCTAAAATTAGTTGTGAGGCTTTTTGAGAAGATCTCCAACTTGAAAATCAATTGGTCAAAGAGTATAGTGGTTGGCATTAATGTGGAGTGCTTTGAGATCTTTGGCTAATCTGTTGAGTTGTGAAAAAGGAGATTGGCCTTTGTGTTATTTGGGATTACCCCTTGGTGGAAACCCTAAATCGGTTAGTTTTTGAAGTCCAGTAGTGGAAAGGTTTGAAAAAAGGTTGGCAAGTTGGAAAATGAATTATATTTCATTGGGAGGGAGAATCACACTGATTAAATCCACTTTGTCTAATCTTCCAGTTTATTACATGTTGGTTATTAGGATGCCTCGGTTTGTTATAAAAAGAATAGAGAAGATCATGAGGGATTTTCTGTGGGAGCCTAGGGAGGGGAAAAAGGATCATCTGGTTAAGTGGGAAAAGGTGAAACAGTTGAAAGGGGAAAGGGGTTTGGGAATTGGAAATGTAAAGTTGAAAAATGTAGCCTTGTTAAGTAAATGGCTTTGGAGGTTCCCTAAAGAAAATGAGAAGTTATGGACTAGAGTTATCTCAAGTATCCATTGGCTATCCATTGGCTGTCAAGCAATGGTAGGGATGCGAGCTGTCTACAAAACGCCACCTTGGCTGCTCCCTGGAAGGCCATCCATGATGTTCTTCCTTTGTTTATCTCCCATATAAGGTATGGTTTGGTTTTGGGTCAGAAAATCAGATTTTGGGAGGACATTTGGATAGGGGATTCTCCCTTATCTGAGGTTTTCCCTTCCCTTTTTGCTCTTTCTAGTCTCAAAGGAAAACCTATTAGTGATTTCACCGATTCCTCCTCTTCACTTTCAAATTTGAATTGGAACTTGGGCTTTATTAGAAACCTAAGAGAATCTGAATTATCTAGTGTCTCCGCTTTGATTACCTTGCTGAACTCAATGGTACTGGGGGATGGTAGTGGTTCAGATTCTAGAGTTTGGGCACTCAATCAGTCTGGATCCTTCTCTTGCAAATCTTTCTTGAATTCTCTTGTTGCCACCTCTTCCTCTCCTTTCCCTGTCAAGGAGGTTTGGTTCTGTCCCATACCACCTAAAGTCAGTGTCTTTTGTTGGGAAGTCTTCCATGGCTCCATTAATACTTGTGATCTGCTTCAAAAAAAAGACCAAATTGGTGTTTGTCCCCAAATAGGTGTCCTTATGTAAGCTGGTGAGACTGCCTTTCACCTTTTAATATCCTGTTCTTTTGTTAATCATATTTGGGAGTGGTTCTCCCTTCTGTTTGGGTGCAGTTGGATTTCTCCTGCTAATCTGGAAAGCTTCTTTAGCTCTCAAACTTTCAAGTATTCTAAAGAGGCAGAATCATGGGAAGATGCACTAGAGCTGCAGTGGTTTGGACAGTTTGGGAAGAAAGAAATCTGAGGATATTTAAAGATAAAGAAAGAAGCAAAGAAGTTGTGATTGAAATGATTACTCTAAGGGTGGTGCACTGGGTGAAGACACTAAAATTGTTTGCTGATTTTAAGATAGAAGACTTTTTCAGATCATGGGGAACAATTGCAAGTTCTGCATCTAGAAGATCTGTTATAAATGAATCATGGTCCCCTCCGAATGATGGGTGGAAGAAACTAAATTTTGATGGCAGCTGTTTGGGAAATCCGGACCCATCAGGCATTGGTGGGGTAATAAGGGAAGAGAATGGAAATGTGTTAGCCGTGTTCTCAGGTCCTAATCAGCATGGGGATGTGGAGAGTTCAGAAATGAAGGCAGCAGTACTTGGTGTTGAAAAAGCTAAAGAAATGGGGATTTACAGATTGATTATTGGAGGGGACTCAAAAATTGTGATAAAGTGGCTGAAGAAAGGGGAAGGAATAATTTGGCAGTTAAGAAATGAGCTCAGGCGATTCAAGCAGGCTTCTAAAGAAATGGTGATTCAAATAAGGTGGATTAGAAGGTCATCTAACAGCATGGCTGATGGCCTTGCTAAGCAAGGAATTCAACGACAATCTATGTTTTGGGCTATGTTGTAGTTAGTGGATCTATTTAGGGTTACCTTTGGGGCTGCGATGTAATTAGTGGGATATATTGGACTTTTTGTCCGCCCACAACTTCTTGTTGTACATAACTTTTTAAATTAATGAATCTATTGTGTTACTGATAAAAAAAAGAATGCTAGTTTAGGTCATGTTCAGCCTCCATCTGATCAGTACAAAGTATCTAAATATCGAAATTTAATATTTGCGATAGCTTTGTCTCACATCCGAGACCTTTCACTGAACTGGTCGTGCAACAGCGACAATCAATGAAAAAGAGTAAGCAACGCTTACCCGCATTAGAAATAATAAGTAGAGGGTCTCTGAGTGCCGTCTATGTAACAAGGCGAACATGAATATTAGGGCTTAACAACTAAAACCGACTTGCAAGGCAAACCACATCAAGAATAAAGAAATCAAGAAACCCTGAGTCAAAACAAGAAGAAAACCAACTATACGAGGAGAGAAGAAAAGAAGGGGGGAAAGGAAGGGACCTGATGATCGCAGTTTCGACAGGCGTAGAGGAGAATCTTCTGCTCCTTGTCTTCCTTTGGGTAGAGAATGTTGTTGCTGATATTTTTTTTTAACAAACGATGTAAACAAATAATAAATAAGAATATAAAAGATGAAATGGAAAATATTATCAACTGTAAAACAATGTAAACGTAAGAGAAGATGGAAGATGGGCGGGAGGATGGACACTAACCACTCACGACAAAACTTCATAGTACTCATTTTGGATAGATGAAGTGGAGTTCTGCTGCAAACCCTTCTTTTTCTTCTTTTTTCCCCGCTATCTCGCGAGCTTTTTTAGTTCAGTCTGTCACCTCGCTTCACCTGCTCTCTACTCTGAGAAAGGAGTAAGATGTAAGCAAAGCGAATCAATACTTCTATTTAGTCTGGGGAGACTCTGGTTTTGATTTCCAGATGTATCTTTAGCGTTGGGAAAGTTGATACACTGATACACATTTATACTGTAGGAGCGGCCCGCCTACTCACACCGACCTCACAGCATGTTAGCACATCGAGAACTCCCTATTTGCATGTAATTATTCGAATTTGGATTACTTTAACAGGCTGTGCAACGAATGATGAGATTCCGAGACCGGATTTGCTCCGTACATAGGGCGCCTCACACGCACATCTTAACTTGAAAACATCTCCCGTATTTGTAAGTAATTTCTCACGGGAGATGTTCCAGGCGCCCACAGATCCCATTCCACGCCAAAAGATGCAGGCCCATGTATTTAAATACAGGCGTGTAACCTTATCACTAGTTCTACGGTTCGTGGCACATTTAAAGTGTTCAGTTAAATCTTGCTCAATTCGATTTAGTTCAGATTGCATAAATATTTCATCTAAATTCGATTTAATATCTCTTCAGATTTAAAAGACATTTGATCAAACATGAACGCTTTTTAGAACCGATTTTTAAGAAAAAACACATGTTTTCAAAATCAGTTTTTTACAAAAAAAAATGCTTCTGTCACATAAACAATGAGCAACACTGTTGTTTGGTAAGGTCATTTTTATCACCATTTTTCATATATGTACTAATATGTAAGCACCACATAGGATACACATCAGTCAACCATTGGGGGAAATGACGATGCATGAAATGCCAAAAATGTCAAATTTAGCATTTCATACATTGGTGGAGTCCTGATTTTTGAGGCATGTCTGATTTTTTAATAATCAACTGAACCAAACAATGAGATACATGAACGTTTATTGAAACGCCTATGGATCCGACATAGCACCATTTTTTTTTTGAAAAACGGTCACGATTCCAAACATCCTCTAAATTTAAATGATATTAATCCAATCAACCTGGGTTGGATACAGACTTATTTCTTATTTATGACACTGCGGAAGCCAAAAGATGGTTGCATGGAAGATTATAATAACACCCTGTAAGGTAATATAGTAATATAAAGTGGAAAGCATGCCAATCTCAAAGTCTGTTTCATATCATATGAGAAAAAACGTTATCCCATACAGATGACAATACACATTTTTTAAAACCAAACAATAAATAAGAGGCTCTTCGGTTCAATACAAATACCTTCACCGTTTATTTTTGACCGCATAGTCATCAATCATTATTGAGTAAAAAAACAATACATAAGATGGTTCATTTGATTTGCAGTTGGAATTGAAATTAAATTGAAATCCTTTGGAATCGAAATTGAAATGATCCATTCTCATAGTCTATTAATCTATTTGATTCAGACAGGAATGAAAAACAAGAACTGAAATCAACAGGAATGGGATTTCATTCCTAAGAAAGGGACAGGGAATGGCTATTCCCTCAAATGGGGGAATGCCATTGCTAGAATGAGAATGGGATTCCGCTTCCATCTAACTAAACAGTTGAATTTGGAATAACCCATTCCAATTCTGATTCCAGATCCCTGTTCCCAGGAACCAAACGGGGCCTAAAAAGTCATTTTACTGGTTCCAGAGACAGGAAGCCCGGATTTGCCGCTTGCCACGCTGTGTAAGATGCTACATAGCCCGTGTTCCGTATGTAGTACAATACAATTGCGTTTCATTTGGGTTTAGAACGGGCCAAAGGATTTTGCTTTGCGTTCGTTAAACCTGTGGCTGTGGCCCGTCACATTCCAAAAAGTGGCTGCTGCTGTAGTAAAGGTCTTCTGGAATGGAATGAAAGGAAAAATATCATCTTAAAGGTCTTCTGGAATGAGCCCCACACACGCTACGGTTCCACTTATGCCGCATTCTAAAACCAAACGAAACATGCAACCCACGGGCAGAACATGCCTTTCATTTACAAGTTTGTTTCTTATTTATGGTAAAAGCAATGTTTTTTGTATTCTTTTTTACAGGAACAGTAGAGCCAAGAAAGCTTCATTTTTTAGATTTATGTGAGAAACAGGGAAAGTTTATTCTGCTAAGTGGGTAAATAACTTTCTCACCTAGAGGTAAAATATGGGACAAAAATGCCCCTTTCAATAATAGATTTTATGGGTAAAATGGACATTACCTTATTTAGCTAGGAAATAAAAGAACATGGATAAATACACTTAGCCAGGTAAGTGTTTCCCGGGAAAAACTTAATCAAGTAATTGTTCTTACCGGATAAGTAACTTAACGAAAAACAAACAGAGCCTAAATACTTTACACTGCATCAATCATGATTTCTTCCCCATTCCCGTCAAAATTCTCTAGGGAAGGTGAACTGGTTAGACAAACCCCCCAGCATTTTTTTTTTTTTTAACCAAGTCACCACTCTTTGACTTAACCTGCATTGTCAGACTTGAGAACCCAAGATTTTACCATTGCTCAACCAACCAAGCAAAAGCAATGGCCTCGTTAGAGAGGGCAAGAGAAAGGAAATTCAAATCGGATTGGCAACATGAAATGAAATCATACAAAGGAGTGCATCAGTGAAATAGCAGTCGATTGCAGTAATAAAGGTTATATAACTGCAGACGGAGATAATACTGATAAAAATTAGCAGATAGAAGGCCAAGAAAGACTTTCAGATCAGGAAATTAGAAGATCAGATTATAAAAATTCACTAGTGAGAAAAAAACAGATAGATAAATAGATCTTGTGCAACATACCCTCTTGGATGGCAATATCATCATGATGGATATTAACCCGTGATAGAAGTCCCAGAGAAACATTGCTCAGAATGCATGTTTGCTTAAATAAAAACATAAAAGGTAACCTCAGAGATTATTTTCCTTTTAGTGGTATCAAACTATCAATCATATATGGCATCATCCCCTATTTACGTGGCCAAGATGGGCAAAATCCAGAAAATGCACAAAGAACAAAATCTAAAAGAGCTCTGCAAGTAGTTTTTAACTGTAACATCTGGAAAACATTGGCAACCAAAATAAGCTTACTTTATGAGGCATCAAGTGAAATGGCATCCAGTTCAAGGTTCCCATTCTCATACATGAACTACGGAAATAGCAATGAAGTCAACAACAGATAACATAGAGGTAAAAAACAAAAACAAAAACAAAAGAGTGCACTAGCAGATGATACTTTTTACTAGAAATCAGCATGTACCGTCTTTCCTGTTTCTCAGTTTTTCTTAGCGCCTTTTGCTGTGCCTTCTGTTCTTCCTTCGACTGTTTTTATAATCAGAATCAGAGTCAGAAGCAGAATCTGTGTCAGAGGAATCAGAGGACGAGCTATACCTTCGATGCCTTCTCTTCCTCTGTTTCCTTGTCCTTCTCCTTCTCCTTCGCTCATCCTCTGAATCTGATGATGAGCTGTAACTTGAGCTACTCTCCCCTGAAGAATCATCCGATTCTGTCACTGAGGATGACCCACTGTCTGTCTCAAAAACAGAAGCTTCACTATCCTCACTTTCTGAGTCAGACACAGACCGATGTTTCCTCTTACTTTTCTTGCTACTCTTTTCACCCTTTTCCACCTTCTGCACATCTGGGTCATCCAGCTCATAGGAGACAGAAAGCTTCATCTTCAATTTAGGGTTTTTGAGCTGCTGTGTTCGAGAGGGTCTTGAGATGTAGACACGTTCATTCTTGCACTCATATGTCCAGTGACCAGCTTGGAAACATTTCTGACATTGGGATGAAGTGCCACCCATGGTCGACATAGAAGCTTTAAGGTCTTTCCTTTCACCCAATTTCACTGCCTTCTCAGTACTCATCAAATACATCTGGCGCTTGGCTTCCTTCCTTTCCTGCCACCGGCTGGGTCCTTCCTCCTTCTGTCCATAAGCATTTACATTTCGGGCTGCAGCAGCAGCCGCTCGTTCAGCCTGAGCACGGCTAAGACCCTTTGCAGCCGACAAAGCTGCAGCCTTGATCCTCTCGGCCGCCGCCTGAGCTTTCTCTTCTTTCTTGCTTGACATCTTCTACCTTACAAGTCAGAATAAGCAGATTTCCACCTCCAGTGGAACAAAAATCTTCAACCCCGAATCCTTCAAAAACCCTGCAATACAAACCAAAACAATTATTTTCACATGCCGATGAAACAAAGATCTTCAATTCATACAAAACAAGCCACGATCCAACTTTAAGCCAATAACTAAATACCAAACGCAGATGAAAATGGCGATAGGGTCCACAACACGATGAAGCGAGAAGCAAACTTTAGTGAATATATTCAATCCAAATACCAACTTCACAGATCAGAATCAAGACAGTTCATTCAACTTCGTAGAGAGAGGAATGAAAAGAAAGAAAACTTAAAGAACAACACCTGGAACAATATGGCAACAAGAGAAATAAAAAAAAATACCAAGGAGCACAAGAACCCTAACATCAATTGAAAAAAGAAAAACAATCTTGATAAATCAGAATCAGAAAACTGCACATCTATTCAAAAGAACAAAACGATAATCCATCATCAAAGCGAATGAAAATACATAAATAAGTAAAAACTCACGTTTCAATCCTTACAAACCGCAAAATCTAGGACACTAAGCCCTATACGGTAAATAAACTTTCAACCTAGATCTCCATAAAAACTTTCAACCTTCAGTTCGGAAACGCTAATTGGAGGCAAACTCTTAGCTATCAGGGAAAATTCATTAAACGAGAATGCGGCTTCTTGTATATAGAAAAGGTTTCGATCAAATTAGGGTTTTCTACAGCGTTGACGAATAATATAAGGCGAGTAGATAACTAGATACTGAGGTAGGCCCTAACAAGATCGAAGTATTGAAGATTGAAACAGATACCTGCGAAGCAGGAAATCTCCCTCCGATCAGATCTTAGAAATACTTGTTCCGACGATAAGGAATTTCAAATTTGAACAGCAGCCGCAGCCTCTTCAAAGATAAACAGAGTCGAGCGTATACAGATACACATCATTTTTAACAAAGTAACCCTAAATTTTTTAACAACCGACAAATCCTCCTCTATCGTTAGTATGCCGTTATAAACTTATAATCCGTTCACATGTGCTGTGATTTATATAAAAAAATGGGTACATTTTTTAAACTAATTATACCCTTGTTGTTGAGAATTAACCGAGGCTACCCCTACTGTTTCTCACAATTGACTAACTCTATTCTTACCATTAACTTCTCTCAAAACTCGTGAAAAATGCCTAAATTGTCCGGTGGCTTAAAAAAATACAAAGCTCTAAGACAACCTTGTAACTCCCGCCACTAGGTAGAGTTACAAGGCAGTGTTGCCGCCATTGCCCAGAGGAAGAAGAGAGAGAGAGATTGGAGTTCAAAGGCGAATGTTGTCGTCGTCGCCCATAGGAAGAAAAGAGAGAGAAAGAGAGATTGGACTTCAGAGGGATTGTCATCGTCGTCACCCAGAGGAAGAAATGAGAAAGAAAGAAAGGTCGGACTTTAGAGGGGTTGTTGCCGCTGTTGTCGCCCAGAGGAAGGAGAGAGAGAGAGAGAGAGATCGGACTTTAGGGGGTTATCGCCGTTGTCGCCCAGAGGAAGAAGAGAGAGAGAGAGAGAGATCGGACTTTGGGGGGGTTACCACTGTTGTCGCCTAGAGGAAGAAGAGAGAGAGAGAGAGAGAGAGAGAGAGAGAGAGAGAGGTCAGACTTTAGAGGGGTTGTTGCCGCCCTCGCTTAGAGGAAGAAGAGAAAGAAACAAATATCAAACTTTAGAGGGGTTTCCACTACTGCCACCCAGAGGAAGAAGAGAGAGAGAAAGAAAGACCGGACTTCTGCCACCGTCACCCCTGTTCAGTTCACTCATACCACTTCGATTGCCACCGTCACCGCCTCACTCATTCTTTGCTTCTTCAACAGAGCACCCCCACTATTGAAGAAGAAAGAGGATGAAGTGCTCTTTGTGTGCATGAACCCTCTTGACAACACATTGCAAGTGAAGTTTAGAGAATGATTTCAAAGATGGTTCATAAACGTAAGGATGCATTAGCTCGGAGGAATATACCATATCCTGGAATTTTCTTTCACCCTCCTTGTATTCATCCTTCAGTTTCAGATGAGCTTCCCAAATTTTGTCAGGTTTAGCACACTAGTGATTCGTCTTTCTCATCCCATGTGCAAAGTGACAACAACCATGCGACATCTCAATACATAGGACAAAGCCAATGTTTAATGTCTGAAACTCTGACTTTGTCCTATGCATATGAATACGGTGTAATTCTCTCTGGTGATCTAGTGTTGACAGAGACTATGGGAGGAAGATAGAGGGAACAGAGAGAGGTCGGAGGAGGAAGGGTGTGCCAAGTCGAGAGAAAGGGGACAAGGGGTAGCATTGGGTTTTAAAGAATTTTAAACATCACGTGATGTCACATGTGTATGGGTTTTAACGAAATATTAACAGATGTTAATAATAAAGGTAGAGTTAGTCAATTGTCAAAAACAATAAGGGTAATGTTAGTCAATTTTCAAACAGGATACACTTAGGCAATTTAGCTAAACCATAAGGGTAGTTTAAGAAATTTATCCTAAAAAAAATTGGGTTTCTAACAGAAAAGGGCGCCCCTAATAGCAACAAAACTAACACTTTTTGAAAAATTACAACTTCGAGGTTACTTTTTGTGATAAATATCATATAGGAGCATTAACATACGAGGTCTTTATATGTACGGGATATAAATTGTATTGGACAAAATTACCCTTCTCATTCAAAATGCTCTCCCTCTCTCTCTCGATCGACCAAAATGAGATGACCTTGGTTACCATTCAAAGCTCTCTCTCTCTCTCTCTGTTCTAGAGAAAAACAGAGACCTTGTTCTCTTTTGTTAACTCATCAAAGAAAGGTTTTTACTGATCGGATGGGGACGTGGAAGACTTCTCGAGAGCCCTAGCCCAGACCGAATCCTAGACGATGGGTGTCGTTGGCAGATCAGTATTCCACTTCTTCAAAGGTGTTTACAACTCCCCAAAAGGTGAGCGTCTAACCGACGGTTCTCAAGCCATTCACATGAACACTCCCCGCATCGATTGCAGCTTCCCTTACATCTTGTGAATTAGAGTTGAAAACTTTTCTCAATTTTTAAAAATCAAGAAAATTACAGAACATTTAGATACACATCATGAGGATTAGTAAACAAAATACAAAAAATGAAATGGTACCCCCACATCTTGTGGTTTATGGTTAGGAACTTTTCTCGATTTCTAAAAACCGAAAAAAAGTTACAGAATTAATATGTGGTCAAATTAAATTAAAATTTAATCAATTTGGCCTTTGGTGTGTAACTATACATCATCAGGATTAGTAATCAAAATACAAAGACTGAACTAGTCATTTGACCCCTATATCTTGTGATTTAGGATTGATATTTTTCTTAGTTTTTGATAACTAAGAAAAGTTACATAACCCATAGGTGAATAAATTAAACTAAACTTTAATCATTTGGCCATCAATCTCCAAATACACATTATTATGGTTAGTAACCCTAATACGAAGAGTGAATTGGTCATTTGACCCCTACATCTTGTGATTTAGGGGTAAAAACTTTTTTGGTTTTTGAAAACCAAGAAAAGTTACTAGACCCATATGTGGCCAAATTAGAACAAAATTTAGTCAATTTGGCCATCAATGTCTAAATATGCATCATAAGGATTAGTAATCCAAGTACAAGGAGAGAAATGATCACTTGACCTCTGCATCTTGTGAATTATAGAGTAAAACTTTTCTTGATTTTCCAAAACCAAGAAAGTTTACCAAACTCATATGTGGTCAAATTAAACTCATCCTCAATCAATTTGGCTATTATCCCAAAAATTAAGATAATCAAAGCCACTTGACTATTAATTCTAGAGATTTAAAGTTAAAAACTTTTCTCAATTTTTGAAAACTAAGAAAGGTTATTGATATCATGCAATCTGGATGCTCCCTCGTGTGCAGTGACTCGGACTCCGACTGGAGGTCTATCTGGCTGGGCCAAGCAGATGTATGCTGCAAGGAATAGAAGGTGAGAGTGGCCCGGGTGTCTTTTACCTAGGGAGGGCACTCCAATATTTAAGTCAGTAGGTATTCGAGAGATCTTAAGAGGTTGAGAGAGCTCTAGAAAATTTAGTGTGCATACCTTTTCAAGTGGGATTGGGTGCCTTTTATAGGTCCCAGGAATCAGGAACTTTTGGATAACGGGTCTAAGCTTTATGTGGAGCCGTTTCCACTTTATCTGGCGCATTAATGCATCAGTTGTGAGATCCATGTGGCGGTTACAATTTGCATGAGTAAACTCGAGGCGTGCGACACGGTGAGCTGCTCTAACGGTTGCGATGTCGACACATTGGGTAGCAAACTATCAAGAACAGTTAGCGAGCTCTCCCTTGCAGGTCGCCGTAGGTCTTCTCAGCTTGGCCGATTCTTAGGATAGCTTGTCGTAATCTTACGGGATTTGCCAACTCAGCCTTGCCGAGGTGGAGTTCGGTCTGAACGAGGTGCTCCAAGATAACTTGCCGAGCTGGTTTGCTAACTCAGTACCGAGGTGTCAACCGGAGGCCACGTGTTGTTACTTGATTGGGAGGACCAAATTACCCCTCATCAGTTACTGAACCCATTGTGGCCAAATTATGAACATCCCAAGAGTGGATAAAATACTTTGTTTGGTAATGGCCAAATTATGCCCCTCCACTACACAATATTGATTAATGGCCTTCTTGAACTCCTTGTGGTCTATAAAGTTCATGCTAATTTCAAATGAGGAGTTTACAAAATGAAACTTTACATTGGAGTGGATAAATACTTTTGGTAAATTGTCATCTTCTATGGGGCTTTCATAATCGCTTGTTGGTTCATAATCAGATAGCGGAGATAGTCCACTATCATGGTTGTATATTCCCATTTAGGTATCTTGTAATTTATAGTCATCTTATCACCATCTAGTACGTCACATAAATTTCCAAAATTTTCAAGGATATTTACATAGTCTACTAATACTCTATTTACCTTGCACACATGCTGAACGAAACCACACAACATATCCTATATTGATATCATGAACTCCAACCGTTCCCAGAATTTAAAATAAATGTAAATATTTTGGTACTCATACCTACAAAAAAATCAAAGAAAAACAACTAAACAAGATCTTAGAATGTAAATTGAGCATCTAGCTATACATTACAAGAAATGGAATTTACTAAATTAGAAGATTACAAGATGTAGGGCAATCATTAATATGGGGTAAAGAGGAGAAAAATAAAATAATTGAGAATTAGAAACACAATTTGTTTCCTATCAAATGTTGTTTTTCAAGAAAATTATTCATTATCTTTCTTTATTTTAATCCTTCTTTTGTGCACATTTGTGAAATGTCGCAAAAATAGAGCTGAAATAATTTTGGTTTACAAAATTTCCATTTATTTTTTTCTTGGTTTTCAAAAATTGAGAAAAACTAGCAACCCTAAATCACGAGATATAGGGGTCAAGTGACCATTTGTCTATTAGTACTTGGGTTACTAACACAAATGATGTATATTTGGACACTAATGCCAAAGTAAATAAATTTTATACTAATTTGGCCACACATAAGTTTACTTGGTTTTCATTAACCGAGAAAAGTTCTCTAACTCTAAATCACAAGATGTAGGGGTCAACTGACCATTTCACACTTCATACTTGGGTTACTAACCATTATAATATATATTGGGACATCGATGGCTAAATTGATTAAAGTTTAGTTTAATTTATTCACCTATGGGTGAGTAACTTTTCTTGGTTTTCAAAAATTGAGAAAAGTTGTCAACCTCAAATCACAAGATATGGGTCAAGTGACTATTTCTCTATTTGTACTTGGGTTACTTACCCAAATGGTATATATTTGACAACTTATGGCCAAATGGACTAAATTTTAGACTAATATGGCCACATATAGGTTCAGTAATTTGTCTTGATTTTCAAAAATTGAGAAAAGTTTTCAACCCTAAATCACAAGGTGCAAGGGTCAAGTGATCTTTTTTTTTTTCTTTGCACTTGGGTTACCAACTTAAATGATGCATATTTGGACACTGTTGGACAAATTGATTAAAGTTTACTTTAATGCTATCCACCTATGTCTTTAGTAACTTTTTTTGGTTTTCAAAAACTGAGAAACACTGCTAACTATAAATCACAAGATGTAGGAGCCAAGTGATCATTTCTCTCTTTTCACTTGGGTTACTATCCCAAATTATGTATTTTTTTCACTAATGGACAAATTGATAAAATTTGAGAATAATTTGGCCATGTATGAGTTTAGTAACTTTTGTTGGTTATCAAAAACTGAGAAAAGTTGTCAAACCTAAATCATAAGATATAGGAGTCAAGTGACCATTTATGACTTTGTTCTTGGGTTACTAACCATTATAATGTATATTTGGACACCTATTGGTTCAATAAATTTTCTTGTTTTTCAAAAACTGAGAAAAATTGTCAACCCTAAATTACAAGATATAGGGGTGGAGTGATCATTCCACTCTTTGTATTTGGGTTACTAATCCTTGTTGATTTATATTTTGACACTAATTGTCAAATTCTTCTATCATTAAATCACATGCTCAAATTCACAACTTTGTGTCATCTAGTAGAGAACTAATTTTTAGATTGTTAGTAGAGACCTATAAGAAGCCTTTATATTTCCTCCAAAGTTAAAAGGGGAAAGGGGAAAACATCAATTGGGACAAAAAAAAAATTGTTAAGTGAAGGGAGGAAATGGTAGTTGTTTATTTTGAAATAGTAGAAGGTAAGTAATGCAAAGAGAGGTAGCTTGACAAGGGCTTCCTTCCAAGAATGAAGATGAATCACAACACAAATTCAAAACAAAAGTTTACAACAAGACAATGATAGTTCTATGAACTTCTAATCCCTTGTTGTTGGGGTCGATGAGAGAGTCGTGCTTTGCATGGGCTTTATCATAAAGCCTAGATTAGTAACCCAAGCAATGCCTTTCCTTGAAGAGGCAATGAAATTGAGTCTTTGTCTGGTTGCAATTAAAATGAAGGAAAATAAACCATTTCTAAGAAATCATAATTTTATAGTTTTTCATGTAAAATAGTAGCAATACCAATCAACGTAACAAGCATGGAATCAAAACACACACAATCACACAGAGAAAAAGCATGGTCCATCCCTAATTCTTAGGAAAAAGGTTGGTCATCTTTGTTCATATCTTGTAACACTCATACATTTCTCAATTATTCAGTTCATTTCCTAAGTGAAACACTAGGAAATCCCTTTTTTTCCTTTATTGGGATTGTTATAAAATCCATGATCACATTTATCGGAGAAACCATCAACCCAACTTAAGACCAAATAGATTCAAATTTTCCACTATAATAACCAGAATATGGAGTCTTCTTATATAGATCAATAAATAGAGATAAAATAACAATTTTACTTATTAGAATTAGTCTAAGCATAATAGCAACAACTACACTCATGGTAAGAGTCTAGGAGACCATAAGCTACAAAAGTAGGTGGCTGCTATAATTCTAGTCATGTGCTCTTACCAAATAAAAGAGTCAAATTAAAATAAATAAAGTAAAATGAAACCTTTGCTCTAGCTTGAAATGAAAGATGAAAAAACCCCCTAACAAATATGTGTTATCACCAAGATTAAATCATGAATAATTTAATACTAGAAAAGAGAAAAAGGGAAAGAAAATTTGAAAAGAAATTCATTAATAGCTTCTCTTACTTGAGCAGTCTTCTATGATGTTGGGCATTTGATACATGGCAAACAACCTCCAACACATACACATTCGTTTGCACAACCCAAATGAAGTTTCGATGAATTCACCCTTGATTTATCCAGATAGAAGGAAAAAAGGGGAATTTCTACTTCTTTGATATACGTAATGAAACTCAAAAATTTATTTGAAAAAAAAAACAATCAAAATTAAAAATCCATGAACATATGTACTGGAAGAAATAACACGAAGGCATCTTCCAAGCCAAGTCTCTCAGCAATATTGAAACTGATCATGTCTGGAAGCAATGATGACGGCCTCCTTCCTTTGAAATCTCCTCCCTATCTTCTCTATGTTTTCTTATTGACTCCTTGTTATTGGTGGCGGAAGGTAGCACTCGCTCCCTTTGTCCAACACAAAAAAGATAAAGAGGTTTAAATGGCTGCACTAACATGAAGTTTAAGGAGAAGGGAGATAAAAAAACTAAGAGAGAGAGAGAGAGAAATTAAGTTCACAAAACCATATAAAATCAGCTAAAAAGAGGAGAAATAGAATGATTCTTACAGAGATGTGAGTGGAAGAGAAAACTTTGTTCTCCAGGTTCGGTTCCATCAAAACTACGGTAAACTTTGAAGTTCAAGTTCAAAAGAGTAAAGTGAGAGAAAAGCATTAGAAAGTTAGAAATATTGGTTGTATTTATAGGGCATTTTTGGAATAATAAATGTRTATAGCTACAGTAATCCATACCGTATATAAACAACTAGGAGTAGTGCCCCTTTTTGCAATTATTTTTAAAAAGCTGCCCATCCCAAGTAATTCCCCTCTATTGATGMTCTAAATGGATATTAACCCCCAAAAATTTCCCTTATAGGCAAGAAACCCTATAAATAAATTTTCTTAATTTCAAAACTATCTCTTTTAAGATCGATTTTATCCTCCATTATTCTTCAAATTTTTAAAATAAAATCCAATGACAAGTGTTTTAGCTGTATTCCTCCCTTCCTAGATTAGCTTTCAAAAAAGGCAATTCCTATATGGAGCTAAATGAACCAGAGCTTCAAAGTTAAGCTTCAATTAATTCTTTGAAGCAACAAATGAGAAATATCGCATGGAAAAATAAAATGCTTTTTGTTAAGTTGAGATGAATAAAGTCATACAAAGGTGCTTAATTATATGTTCGTGCTCTTTTGTGATCGTCACAGAATTAAGATTCATCCAATAAACACAACTTCTCTTTGTTTCTCCTTTGAAGATAGGTTAAAAGAAAATTATCATTTCCCAACAAATTACAACATCCATGGGTTGCAAAAGTGGAGAGACTGATTTCAACTTAGGTATCGAACCCACATTCCATGGTCTTTATTGATGTTGATCTTAACTCTACAAATTTCTACTCTTTTCCTTCTTCTCATCCTTGTAACGAGGGCATTCCATCTCCTCTTTTTCCTCATGTGATCAACTGGGGTCTTGGCAATAGTTCTTCATCAGGCATGGTAAGACTGTGACTTCTGAAGTTAAATGTCCATCACAATTTAATCAGCTTTTAAAGTGAAATGCCCATCACAATCTAATCAGCTTTTGAAGTTAAATTCCCATCACAATCTGATATAGCACGATCTAGCTACTCCCAGTTGGAGGTGATCTGGCTTCTAGATGGACGGCGGACTGAACCTGCAAGGATATCAAAGAACCTGAGGATGCTAACCCGGCGAGGTTGCTCCGATGCTTAAGTTAGTAGGCTAGTAGCGAGCTAAGATTGCTTTTGAAAGTAGAGAGCTTGAGAGCAAGAAAATCACGCATACCTTGCACCCCCGGGGGGTGAAGCCTTTATATAATGGAGTCCTCGCGGGTTTCGCGGAGCGGTTCCGGGATCCTCATCACGATGAGATCCGTTTCCGCGTAAGTTGGGAGATAGTATTGCCAACAGATAGGGTTTATCGAGTCCACCCGAATCGGTCGGGGGAGATAACGCTGGCTGTTATGCGGCGTGATCCCGTGAAGTCCGGGAACCGTCAAAAGGATTTTCGGGATCCTCATAGTGGCACGTCGGTATCCCCGAGCTGATGCGTTCAAGTCCCGAACTGGACTAAGTGTCGAAGTGCCTTGGCATCGAGGTGTTCTCGTTGCGATTTGGTACCGAGGCGATCTCATTTCGAAGTGACCTTGTCGCGAGGTCATTTTATCCCGGGTAGATGGGTACCCGAAATCATTCCGCTACGGGCTAGTCATGCAGAGCTGTCATCTATTAGTCAGGCCGCGTCCACGTGTCCCCTTGTTACGAGGTCGGGCCAAATCACCCTTCATCAATTGCCCCCCACTCCCCAAGCTAGGGGTCCAGACCTGGTGCGGGGAGTTCATGATGTGACAAGTGGATTTGGCTCAAGGTGCAAGCCGCTTTGTCGGATGAATCGTTAGTCGGACCAGTTCGGCTACTCGGCTCAACCAAGGATAACCCGGGTCGCGTCTAGTTTACGTGTGAACGTCACGCGATCTACAAACTCTGCAGATATCAAAAAACGTGCTAAACCGATTTCAACCTCGGGGTCGCGCAGCCGGTTTTCTTAGGAGCCGTCGGATCGCTTTAATCTTGACCGTTGATTCTCTGGTACAGTGGCTATAAATAGGGGGACCCGAGACTCGTTTTCTTTGCCATAAGTTCATTAGCCTTCGGTCTGAGGTCGTGTTCAAACTACTTAGCTCGGGTCTTCCTGTTCGGTGTTTCTTTCCAATTCGGCATTTCTCCTTGGTGAGTCTTCCCTAGCTCTCCTCTTTAATTCAGTTTGTCTTTTTCATGTCTAGTTTCAGTTTTGATAGTCTTCTAGATGAGGCCGAGGTGGGTACCTCGGCCCAGATCAATAGTCATATTGAAACTACTTCGGGTCTGGAAATGGTCCTTTGCCCTCCTGAGGTGCAGCCACTCCGGGAGGCACGAGAGGCCTCTGGTAACCTGGCATCCACCTCACACCGAGGTCGGGTGCCAGACAACTTTGGCCCATTAATAATGACAGTGGACAGGCTCCAGGCCTTAATAGCTCAGTACAACCTCCCAAACTACCTCATTTATAGTCTTTTGCTAGGCAACTTCCCTTGGAAGCATGATTACAACGAGATCGTGATCTTCAAGGAGCAGCTCGTAGCTAGTCTTCGTCTTCCGTTGCACCCCTTGATTGTAGAAGTCTTGAAACTTTTCAACATTACCATAGACCAACTGCACCCGAACTCAATTCGCAATGTAGTAGGGACCATCTCATTTTTTCATGACTATAACCTACCCCTCGACCTCGATATCTTCTCTTTGATCCTGTCCATCAAGAAGAACGCCTTCTGTGTCCTTCCCGAGCATAGGCAGACCTATTACCTATCTCCTCGTCCGGGCTACAACCTCCCAAATAGGGTCCCGGCTTGGAAGAGGGGTTATTTCGTGGTCCGAAACACTGAGGGATGGTCCTTCCCAACCCATTGGAGGGTGGCCATTTAGGATCCCGGTGTCAGATTGGACCTGAAAACAAGGGAAGTGCTCCAATCTTGGGCGGAGCTCGGCCTCAACTTCGCGGACTACATGGTTGAAGACAAGCTTGTGCAGGCTGGCCTGAGCCCTGGTAGGTTGTCTCTTTGAGTTTTTTCTTTATTTCTGATAATGTTGCTGACGTTTTGCTTTTGTTGCAGCTCCCATGAAGTTCGCTGCAGATCAACTCCTTGGTCGGATGAAGGGGAAGAAGAAGTGAGCTGCAAAAGGGCTCGCATCAAGTCACCGCAGTCTATCGTGCCTGAGTCCGAACAGCCCTCCATTACGCAACCTCTAGTAATCAACCTGATCGAGGAGGGACCAGGGAGGGCCTCCCCGCCTCGCGCGCCCGGGGAGGCATCTTGGGAGCCCGCTCCTGCAGCCGCCGCATCGTCAGGCAGCGAGGAAGCAGTTCGGAGTATCCTGACTCCGAAATATAGCCTTCTGAAGAGCAAGAGCACGGTGTATTCCGAAGAGGTTGCTGGCTGGGCCGAGCTGTCGGTCGCTCAGCTCGGAGCTCGAGTGGATACTCACTGCATGGTGGTAAGTTCTGTCATGACTTCTTCAATTTCGCGCTTAAGACTTTTCTGGTACTAACTTTGGTTCTCTCGGCAGGTGAACTCCGCCGTGCACACTCTGATGTACCAGTCCGAGCAACATTTGAAGCGGACTCTTGCGACTGAGTCCTCGTCTCACGAAGATCACGCTGAGTTGAATCTGGCCCGTAATGAGATCAACCAGCTGAAGAACGATGCCCGGGCTCAGAAGGAGCTTATTTCATTATTAGTGTCCGAGAAGGTGGCGCTGAAGCGAGAGGTGGAGAACCTTGAGGCCCACGTCAAGGAATGAACCAAGGTACTTCTTCAAACGGTGGAAGAGTCCAAAGCCAAGGCCGTCGAAGAGTACAAGAGCTCGGAGGAGTTTTAAGGAGGGCTAATTGAAGCCGGGACGAAAGCCTACCGCAAGGGTTTCAAGCTCAACAGGTGGCTGACCAGGCGCGAGTTCCCGCAGCTTGATCTGAGTGCTATCACCACCTCGAGGGTTACGAGTGAAATGGCCATCGAAGCCGCCGAAGACCCGGACTCTGAGGCAGAGAAAAACGACAAGCTACTTGACATCGGAGAGGCCGGTGCTGATGAAAGGGTTGATCCTTCTGTTGAGGCCTCGGGCGAGGGCGAAGAGCACTAAGTCTTCCTTGTATATCGAGGGCCTGCGAGCTCAGCTTAGAGTAGAGAATTTTCTCTTTTTTTTTTGTAACGAGCTTCTCATATTAATGAAATAAACTTTTTTGCCCAAATGTTCTAAGTGCAAATAATTCTCTAATTGGCGAACTAACCAAATAGGTATAAGTTACCCTGAACTGTCGAGCTACCGAGCTGGACTGCCCGTAGGGGTAACTTTGTACGATGTACCCGAGGAGCGTGGACATTGTAGGGTATCTACCCGACCTGTCTGTGCACGGGCTACGGTGATGTTGTCCCTTTGCTGGGGTTCAACTTTTTCGTTGTATGCCAAGGTGGATTAGACATCGTAGGGTTTATGCCCGAGCTGTCTATACCTTAGGCATGAAATGAGTTGCCAATGCCGAAGAGGCGATTAGGTCGTGTCTGCCCATGCCGATGAGGCAACTGGGACTTGTGCGCCCTTGCCGAGGAGGCGACTGAGACTTATGAGGTGCTGAGGTCTTTTGTTAGCTCGGCACCTTAACCCTTAGGCTTTGGGAGCGACTCATAGTCCGCTCCCCTTACCCTTGGTTTTGCCCATGCCGAAGAGGTGACTGGGTCTTGTATGCCCATGCTGTGGAGGCGATTGGGTCTTGTATGCCCATGCCGAGGAGGCAGCTGGGACTTGTATGCCCATGTCAATGAGGCAACTGAGACTTATGAGGTGCCGAGGTCTTTTGTTATCTCGACACCTTAACCCTTAGGCTTTGGGAGTGACTCACAGTCCGTTCCCCTTACCCGTGGTTTTGCCCATGCCGAAGGGGCGACTGGTTCTTGTATGCCCATGTCGAGGAGGCGATTAGGTCTTGTATGCCCATGTCGTGGCGCCGAGGTTTTTATCAGCTCGGCACTTTAGTCCTTGGACTTCTGGGTGACTCGTAGTCCTCTCTTCAGTTCGGAAATCACAGGTAGTATCGCCTCAAGTTGA